GAGGTTCTGGAGGACCTGAGGAGACCAGATGTTGGAGGTTCTGGAGGGAATATTTTCCCATTCTGGTCTGTTGAAGGATTCTAGCTGTTCTGCAGTCTTTGATCTTTGCTGAATGGGAACAGATGTTGTTCTAAAACCTGTAGATGGTTTTCTTCATTGCTGGAGTCTTTCCAGATGTTTAAGTTGCTCATGCCAGATGCTTTAATGCACCCCCATACTATCAGGAAGTCTCTTTTTATGTGAACTAACATTCTGGATGATCCCTTTCCTCTTTAGTCTGGAGGACGTGGTGTTCAAATAGAACTTCAGATTTGGATCTGTCTGACCTCAGAACAGTTCTGGACTTCACCTCAGTCCATTTGAAATGAGCTCTGGTCCAGACAAGACTGCAGTGGTTCTGGATGGTGTTCACATCTGTCTTCTTCTTTGTTTGATAGAGCTTTATGCAGCATCTGTGGATGAACTGTGTGTGATCAGACTCAGACCTGGTTTTAATGTAGCGGGGTCCAGAACAGAACTGTTTTTTAATTCAACCTTTAGGTTCGTCTCATTGAGTCACGAGGACTCATTTTCAAGAGGGACCTGTTTTAGACCGACTACATATTTGCTTTGATGTTTATATTGACATTATTAAAAGTTTAAAATCCCTTAAGGTGGACGGCTTCAGTTCTTGTTGCAAGGTGTTCCAAGTTGCAGGAGCTGAGTTAGAAAAGGCTTTTTTTCCAAGTTCAGTCCGGACTGAGGGAACGCAGCAGGCAATGATGCGCATGTTGTAACTGCACTGATGGCGTGACAAGTAGGAGGCGATGTAGTAAGGCAGCAGACCAAGGAGGGATTTATAGATGAAAATGAACCAGTGTGTGAGAGCCTACATGTAGATGATGAAGACCAACTGACCAGTGAGTACAGGGTGCAGTGATGGGTACGGTAGTTACAACCAGTTATGAACCTTATTGTACCGTGATAGACAGCGGCCAACATCTGCAAGCGGGAAGGGGCATTCATGTTCATAATCTCACCATAATCAATCAATAGTCAGTAAGAAAGTTGCAGTTACAAGATGTTTTCTGGCATTCAGAAGATCTATTTCTGAAAAAGAAACCCAGTTTTAATTTCAGTTTCTTTATCACGTTTTCCAGTATGTGGTTTAAAAGAGAGATGTGCATCGTCTAAAATTCCCAATAATTCCCAAGTTTTTGTAAGAATCAACAAACTCAATAGGAACACCATGCATGGATGAGATAGGACGAAGAGCTGCTGACACCTACTTTCTGTTTGAAAACATCTCTTTGATTTTGTCAGCATTTAGAACCAGTTTGAGATGGAATCAGTCTGACTGGTTGATGTATGATGCAGACTGTAGAAACTGGAAAACCTTGGCAACTGTTAGCTCGTCAATAGAAAACAGTGTCGTTGGCATAGAGATGCAAGGATGCGTCATGAATGTTTTGACCGACATTATTTATATAAATTGTAAAAAGAGTGGGACCTGAAATTGAGCCTTGTGGCACACCATTAGTGACCATTAGGTAGCTAGGTGAAGTACCGTTATGTCGAACACGTTGCCTCCAACCTGAGAGATAGTTTGAGAACCAGCCAACAGTGTGATCTGAGGAGCGACTATCTGAGATCTTGTGGCATAAAATGTCATGATCTACAGTATCAAAGGCTTTGGACAGGTCTAAGTAAAGTGCAACACAGTAATCCAAAGCTTCAACAACATCATTAAAACTTATTACATTATTAACTTATTAACATTATTAACAACATTACAACATCATTAAAATTAGTGTACATCTTGGATCATTATGCACTGTTTCTTTTTATACTTTATAGTTTTGCTATTTTTGGGTGTAACTGGAATCTTGAGTACACAATTTTGTTCCACCTCAAGTACTACATGTGATGCAAATGACAATAAAGAAACTTGAACTTGAAGAACCTTTAGTGAAGCAGTCGTGCTACGTTGTTTTCTGAAGCCAGATTGGAGGGAAGATAAAATATTAAGAGCCCAAAATACTTCTTGACTTGAGTATTTACCAGTTTTTTTAAGACCTTAGCTAAAATACAGAGTTTGGAGATTAGTCAATAATTGTTCAGTATAGTGGGGTCACTGTCCAGGAAAATGGGGAGTGTGGTAAAGAGGTGAAGAAGAAAGTCCAGGCAAGATGGAATGGATGGAGAAAAGCTTCAGGAGTGATTCATTCATTCATTCAACCTTTATTTAAACAGATAAGTCACATTGAGCCTCGAAGACTCATTTACAAGTGAGACCTGTTTGGACAGACAATAAAGTGGTGAAAGTGACAACATAGGTTTTGGAGGCAAAAAAAAATTGTAACATGCTCTTCATCTTTGGCTGAAGATTAAAAGCATGAAAATGAAAAAAAAACAAACTTGCACATAATGACGCCGACATTCTGCAGGGGGGGACGCAAGGGCGGTGAGCATGTCCAGAGAGCACACACAGGCACTGCAAGAGTTCAGATAAAAGTGGTAAATCGCTCGGTTCACATAGTTCCCTCTGGAGAGATCCGGACACTCTCGGGTGCCGAGGACGGCCGAGGACGGCCAAGGACGGCCAAGGACGGCCAAGGACGACGTCGGATAGAATCCAAAGAGTTCCGAAATGATGACAGAATGTGTGCTTAGCTGGGTCCCTCGGATTGGTCTGTAGACTTCCTCGGTGGGAGGGGGGAGGGGCAGAACATCAAGGTTCACATAGCCTCCAGGCAAACTAAGATAAGGTGGCCTGCAAGGCCAGTCAGGGAGCTGAATTCAGATAAACACGATTGCCTTGGGGACAGGCAGAACTCTACTGATTATGTCTACCTTGAGTCTGTGTTGGTCCTCTCGGTTCTGAAACATCCAAATTAAATGGCCACACCATCGGACTGTGCCCGAGAATATTCCCCGAGATCTAATCCATCCTGTCAAAAGCATTTGAGTCTGGGTGCTCGAGGCACGAACCAATCCATCATAAAGGCAGGCAGCCTGACCAGGTCCAGATTTGCTGCAGACGACTTCCTTGCCTGTCGATAGACCAGGAACCAGCCCAATCCAAAAAACAGGAAACCAGTTATCGTAAATCCGTATGCGTCCTTAACATCCACGATTGACAGCAGAGAGACACATCATAAAATCTTCCAAGTCGATGAGATATCCAGCTGTGTGCGTGCCAACAGGACAAGTCAGCTCGTCTAAAGCCTGTCTTCTCTTTAAAGAAATGTTATCAATTACGTTGAGGGACCAACAGATCAAATCCATAGCAGAATTATGATTCATAAGATTTGTAGAAGAGAGGCTGTAAAGCAGTTTCACAGACAGGACAGAGCAAAGCGTTACCTGGCATATCGATAAATGTGAAAACGTTGGCAGCATTTGAGACAAAAAGGTGTCGGCAAAGGTCAAAAGAAAAGTTTTCAAGACAGTGGTGAGACCAGCGATGTTGTATGGTCTGGAGACAGAGACATGGACAAAAAGACAGGAGACAGAACTGGAAGTAGAAATGAAGATGTTGAGGTTCTTCTTAGGAGAGACAAGGATGGAGAAGATCAGGAATGAGATCATCAGAGGTACAGCACAGGTTGAACAACTGGGAGATAAAGTTAGAGAGGACACACTGAGATGGTTTGGACATGTCTAGAGGAGGGACAGTGGTTTGGACATGTCTAGAGGAGGGACAGTGGTTTGGACATGTCCAGAGGAGGGACAGTGGTTTGGACATGTCCAGAGGAGGGACAGTGGGTATACTGGTAGAAGGATGTTAGAAATGCAGCTGCAGGAAAAAGACAAACAGAGGAGACATATGGATGCAGTTAGAGAGGACATGGAGGTAGTTGGAGTGAGGACAGAGGACACAAAGGACAGTGAGATGGAGGAGGATGTTTTGCTGTGACGTCCCCTGAAGAGGGAAAAGCCGAAAGAAGAAGTTACAATTTCAATCTCCTCCAGCTGTTTTTGATTGGCACCTCTGACTGTTTCGGCGTATCGTTTCCCTGGAACCGTTTTAAACAAACGTGTTGCTCCATCAAATTCAAATTAGCTTTGTTTTCCCAAAACGGAGAACAATGTTCTACTTTCAACATTTCAGATGTTCCTTAGTGAATAAATATGGATTTACAACTCCTTCCATGCAGGGTTTATTTACATTTTTCACAATGTCCCATCTCTTTCTGAACTGGGGTTGAAAGTTTGAAACATTTGAAGGATAATTTTGAGCTGCGTCACATAAAGAGGATTTACACTCGGTGAGGTGGACGCTGTTTGACCTCAAGTTTTTCTGCCGTCCCGTCCTGTTTATTTTGTGTGTGGCAGAAACTGGCCTGAGCTCAGGCGTTTCTTCTTCCTGTGGGCGGAACAACCAGCACTTCCTGTTGGCTCTAAATGTGTTGCTGTTCTCAGATCAGCCTCTTCAGGCGGTTTAAGTTTTTAAAGCTAATCTGGGTCAGAGGGACAGAATCCCCCTCCGTGTACCACACACCCAGGAGTTTACTGTGAAGACTCTGGATGATCTTCATCAGGACACACCCAACAACAGAGGGAACCAAAGAAGTCCATAAAATGATCCGAGTAATTTAGATTATTTTATTTTTAAAAGGTAAATGCTTTAAAGCTGTCCAGTTAACGTGCTGCGTTCTTCATGAAAAAGTTTTAATCTGTAGCATAAAATCAGCTCCAGTTCTTAGACTGCTCCCAGGTGACAGCCCTGCAGTTTGAATAACCTTTATCGAGAGGACAGAGTGACAAGTTGGTTCTGTTCTGTGGGGTATCAACTGAGCTCAAACAGAACCCGTCCTCCATGAAACTTGGGTTCTCCTCTGTCTGTTCCTGGAGCGGGTTTTCAGTTTTCAGACTAGACTTGTTAATTTTTCATAAATCTTCTCTCACTTGGTGCCGGAATGTAACAGAACCCTGCAAAGTGACGGGTTCTGTTACAGCAGAGGTTCTGAGTCGGTAGTTAAACAGTTTGTCTTATTAAAGCAGAAAAAATAACTTCTTTTTTTTCATTGTTAGTGAAAAGTCAACTGAGATTATTCTAGTTCCTGAAGAAGTTTCACACACCTGTTCTCACAGAACCTAACTTTGGATCGGTTCTGTTTCAGTGTCAGTGCTGCTTGTTGGTTGGAACGTATTATGATGAGGTTATTAGCGTTGGTGGGATTACCCATCATGCATCAGTGCAGCTGAGGGGGGCCATCAGAGGAAGCAGGTTGATGTTTACGTCTCTGCTCGTTGCAGTCCGGTCGACGTCGAGCCAGAGTGACTCACGCCGTCATCGTGATCTTCCTGGAGTTCTTCGCCTGGGGGCTGCTGACCACGCCCATGCTGACAGTGAGTACGCACACAGCAACAGGTGCACATGTTGGCATGTGACGCAGGTGAGACGGTGACACTAGTGTCACAGTGACAGATTCATGAATTATTTTCCAGAGTTGAATACTTTCACGGGAAGTCTCGGTTACCATGGAGACCAGACTTCATCCATCAAAGCCAATTAACGTTGGTCTCTAATTAACCCTCCGGGGGAGTTGAAGAGAGATTTTCTGCCTTGTCGTCCAATTTGGACTGAAAGTCAGTTTCAGGATCGTGAAGGAAGAGCTTTTTGATCACCATGGTAACAGGCTCACCTGAACAGGTAAAGGGTTTTAGTTAACCGTCATCTCAACCCAGTGCTGCTGTGAGACATTAAGAAGCTGCAGGAAGAGAAAGTGATAAAATAGCCTTTGATTGTGCATCATGTCATCAAACTGTTCACATGAAGATGATGACGCTCAATGAACCATCAGTGTTTCTGTAAATCAATCGTCTGTGTCTGCTGAGATGTTCATCAAACCGTTCATATTGTATTCAATTTGTCAGAGATTAGTCAATGTGCTGATGATTACTGGACCAAACATCATGAGCCCACACGTCAGTCTCAGCATGAAAACTGCTCGATCCACCGAAAACGAGGTTGGGTTGCTCCAACGCGTTGAAGAGGATGATCAGCACAAACAGCACTCTGCTCTCCACCACTGCTGCTGTTCATCAGCAGAAACGCCACTGACCGACCGCAGCCGTCTGTAGTGCGCACGCCGTTTCACACCGATGCTGGACGTTTCCACCACCCCCACTCTGAGACCACGAACCAGCGAGCTTCGGTTTCAGAGAAAACTGCTGCTGTGGTCGTTTACACGAACAGCGAAACGCAGCAGAAGAGTTTTAGTTGAAAACGGCGCCGTGTTCACAGGACGTGAGGGAAGACGGCGCTGTTTAGTTGAACCAGCTTCATCGTTGAGTTGTTGGCGATCAGCGTTCACTCGAGTCGTTTCCTGAAGTTTGTTTACGGTTTCCTTCACTTCAGGTCAGTCACAAAGCCCTCCTGTCTCCTGACGGGTTGAATGTGGCTTCATGCCGCTGCGTGTTCTTCACATGGACACGTTCACGTTTACAGTCCTGATGATTAAATACTGAATATTACCCAGAATGCTTTGTTCCATGAGCTGCAGCTGCTGTTGACGGTTTAGTGAACAGGTTGCTTCCTGCATGTTGGAACCACCGATCTGAAGTCGGTGTGAAGTGGTCGCCACACGTTCCTCTTCCAGAGACGTTCCTTCATGTGTGGGGAATGTTCTGTGCTCTGAAGAGGAGAAGCTGCACTTTATAAAAATGTCTTTATTGTAGCAGCTCCTCCGTTCCTCTTTCTCTTCCACACCCGTTCCTCTTTCTGTTCCACACCTGCGCTCGAGACACTCGTGGGAATGATCCATCAACAACAGAACCTCCACTCTGCATTCTTCTCTCTCAGCTCAGAGCAGATGTTTCCCACACGAGTGTCACCGACTCGCTCCGTGCAGCCTCACTGTGTCTGAACTTTGGGCCCTGCAGACGTGACTCTTCTTTGTTCTGTTGCTGCAGGTTCTTCATGAGACGTTCCCTCAGCACACCTTCCTGATGAATGGCCTCGTTCAAGGCGTCAAGGTAAGATCTGAATCGCAGCCGCAACAAACGCTCCGACCTTTGACCTCCGCCTTTATTAAGGCAGAGCATGTTTTACCCAGTTTGACCTCTGATTAGTTCAGTCCAGATCGTTTAGGTCCTGTCAGCTCAAAGCTCTGTAGAAAATAAAAACTGTTCCACGTCAAACATCCAGTTCACATCTAGATCCAGATCCAGTAGAGCTGGTCATTAAAAATGGCTGCCAGTGCCTGCACAGTATGTGACGTCATCAAGTATCTGGAGATATACGAGCACGATACGTCCAGCGCTGACGTCGTGTTTGCATCGATAAAAACAAGCGGCAGGAAAGAAGCTTTGCTGCTTCAGGACCTGCAGTGGTGACGCTGACGAGCCTCGTGAGGGTTCTGGTTCTGGCCGTGTCCGAAGCCGATTACTCCGAGAGAGAAATGTGATCGTTGGTTCAACTCCGTGAACGAGTTGGCTTCAACCAGACAAACGTAAACGGAGGAGTTCTTACTTCTGTTGGAAACATTCGATGGAGGGACCAGAGGAGATCCCTGATCTCAGACCAGAGACTGCAGTCCCTCAACAGGTCCATCCACCGGCCATCCATCCGTTCATTCATCCACCATCCATCCACTGTCCATCCATCCGTTCATCCATCCACTGTCCATCCATCCGTTCATCCATCCACTGTCCATCCATCCACCATCCGTCCACTGTCCATCATCCACTGTCCATCCATCCGTTCATCCATCCACCATCCATCCATCCACTGTCCATCCATCCGTTCATCCATCCACTGTCCATCCATCCACCGTCCATCCATCCGTTCATCCATCCACTGTCCATCCACCGTCCATCCATCCACTGTCCATCCATCCGTTCATCCATACACCGTCCATCCATCCATCCATCCATCCACTGTCCATCCATTCATCCATCCATCCACTGTCCATCCATCTGTTCATCCATCCACCGTCCTTCCATCCATCTATCCATCCATCCATCCATCCACCGTCTGTCAGTCCAGCCCAGCCCAGTCCATCCATCCATCCATCCATCCACCGTCCGTCCATCAGCCCAGTCCAGCCCCATCCATCCATCCGTCCGTCCGTCAGCCCAGTCCAGCCCCATCCAT